TCCAGCACATATTTCTTTGATTGTTTTCTCATCCAATTGCCACGATGTCACCTTTCAGTGTAACATGAGACATTGCATGACATTGCAAACATTTGCGAACCATCGTTCTTTGGAGTTTCCCTCCGCCCACACACTGCGTCCTCTGCGCCCGCCTCGTCCACGTCCAGTGGCTGCGCGGCCGACAGCAGCGCCGTGGCCGCCGCTGCACCGCTGGCAAGGCGCTTGGACCTCGAGCGCTGGGAGCCTGCGAAGCTTCCGGCGGTGAACGCGCAAAACCCCGACGCGGCACTCGGGCTGGGCGAGGGAGGGGCTCCGGGCTTTTGGTTCCCGGATTGGTGTTTTCGGTTCCCGCGGTGTTTTTTCTTCCCGCGTTGGTGTTTTCGGTTCCAACGGTGTTTTTGGTTCCCAAGTGGGTTTTTGGTTCCCGCGCGGCGGTGTTTTCGGTGCCCGGCTCGGTTTTTTCAGTGCCCACGGGTGTTTTCAGTTCCTGTGATGGTGTTTTCGGTTCCCGCCTTGCGTTGAAGAGGGAAAAAAAGGGCGGATGTTTTCGGTTCCCGCGTCCGGTGTTTTCGGTTCCCGCGTTCGGTGCGTTTAGGTCTCCGGTGTTTCGGGTTTTCGCGTCCGGTGTTTTCGGTTCCCGTGTCGGGTGTGCTGTGATCCCGTGTGAAATGGTGGGAGTCTTGTGTTGTCGCGGGACAACGCGAAAGAATTTTTGTAAAAACACGAACAAACACGAACCACCAAAAGCTACCACCACCACCACCACCACGAACACCACGAACAACAGCAACAACGACCACAACAACAACAACGACAACAACAACAACAACAACAACAGCCACAACAACCACAACGACGACGACGACGACCAACAACGACGACCAACAACGATCAACAAACAACATGCGAAAATCGACGACAACAACAACACCACCACCACCAACAACAACAACAACTACTACTACTACTACTACTACTACTACGACAACAGAAACAACCGCGACAGCGACAAGAACTTGGCGGCAACGTTGCGCCAGTGTGGCTGAATGAAATTGGTGTCCAAGCCAATGGAAGAAAAGCAACGCTTCAGCATGGTTGCCAAAGCAGGAAGTGGGCAAATCTTTTTGAACCCCAGCGTCACAACAGCTAAGTCCCGCTGCACACGGACATCAAACTAGCATTCACACGACCTGCGTCGACGTTGGCCTCAGATGCGCGCGCAAGCTCACAACATGAAACCGACAAGCCGTAGAGAGAGGCTGCAGAAGGCGACAATGCAACTTGTTAACCACAGTGACGTGTAAGTGACGCGTGACGGCAAGTGGCTTTGGGAAATGAACGTAAACATGTGCAGCAAAGCATGCAAAAAAAGTTGGAGCCCTGCAGACCAAGCTTCCACTTACTTCTTGGCGCCAGCACAGCAGTAAAGGACTGGCTGCATGGCATGCGATCATTTGATACATTCGCCACACGGTCATGAAGGGGCTGTTGCGCGGGTACCTTGGAAGACGGCCAGGCCACTTCCATACGCCTCTCCTGCCAGTGTGAGTAGCAAAACATCGATTGCAGACTCTGAAGACAAACATGCAATTGAATGGAGTGGAGGAGTCTAGAGCAAGCTTTTGGCGCACGAGCCTCGTCGCGCACCGGCTCATCCTGACAAGGCAGAATGAGCAACGCAGGACAGGCGACAAAGAAGGACAGGCGGCAAAGAAGAACCGCCGCAGCAGCAGCGGCAGCACCACCAGCAGCAGCAACAGCAGCAACCGCATCCAGCAACAGCAACAGCAACAGAAGCAACAGCAGCAACAACAACAACAGAAACAACATGAAACAACCGCGACAGCGACAGGAACAGCGGTCGCAAGAACAGCGGGAACAGCAACAGCCAGCACAGCAGTAAGCACGGACAAGAGCGAAACTACGTGCTGCAGAACCAAACAGTACTGCTGCAGCTGGGGGCCAAACGACCGCGAAGCGGAGGAATCCAACCTGGTAGGCTCAGATTTAGCAGCGCAAAGCTAAGTAAGCAGAAGCAGCTGCAATTAAGCTACAGGATGGTGTTTTCACTGTAAGGGCACAGTGCTGGCGCAAATAGTCTTTGGCGGTCCAGCACCAGTTGGCCTCGTACAAGGTTACATGCCAAATTGTAACGGTATGGTAGGAGCGAAACATGACATGATAGATAAGTTTGTACCACCTGCCTCGTCTTCTTCGCTGAGGTTCTCCCAGCGCGTCATGGCCAAAAATGAAGCTCTGTATGCTTTCGTC